TCCACCCATGAAGAAAACGAAACAGATGGTGGTGACTTGGTCGAAGACGTTGGACGATGGCGACTTCCATATCTCCATTAATTTAAACTTTTTAAAAACAGCAGGTTAAGATTGCAGAAATAGATCACACTTCTAAGAGTACTGGACAGAAAATTATGATCTGATCAATCACATGTTGACATTAGAGACGATAATGAATAAATTGTAGAGGATAAATCAGAATATGTTTAATATTGAAAGCGATAAGTGAAATTTGAGCTAGAAATCTCTTAAAAGATTTCCCACCATTGGAGGTTTGTTGGTCAGTTACTGAAAGCTACCTTCATATCTCATCCAGCTATAGTCTATAAATGGTAGAATAATCCATAACCAGAGGCCATTATAGAAATGAACTACAATTACAATAATGGTCTTGGTGAGAATTGTACTGAAATACATAATGAGAACTATGGATATGATATTTGAGATTTGACATGTGAATACAGATTAAACTTTATTTTGTATTCATGATCCCTAGTTTTTGTATCCACCAGTTGTAGGTCAGATGCATTCCACTGATTAGTATAGGAAAATCAACCAAAACACGCTGTTAAAGTTACCTCATGCACGCAACTGTGCTAGCAAAAGTATCAAATAAAATTTATATATAAATTAAAACATATGAAAATGTCCACATCAACTGTGACGTGAATACAACATAGAACACTTAGGGCTTGACCCGGAAGTAGCATGCTTCCATAGTACTTAAGCACCTCATGCTTGTTACAATTGACACAATTTCTCACTTTTGCTACTTTCGAGGACGGATTTCATCATGACGAGAGTGGGAGCTGCGAAGAACGGGAAGAAACTTTTGCTTAGCAGAGGAAATCATTCCAAGGGCAAGTCATTGCTGCAATTCTCCAGCAAAGCTCAAGACAAGCCGCGGGATGGAATGCAGTCGAGGCGACGGGGGCCTTCATGTAATTTTCGGTCCGATGATGTGAATGTGCAGATGCTTTTGGATAAATTTGACACATTTCGAGAGAAGTACAGAAAGAAGAAGAAAAATGAATCAGCTGCATTGAAGGATTTTTGTTTACAGTTTCAACCATTATTTACCTCCATTGGAGCTATTGTGGATCACTTTTATTAGAGATACTAGTCTCACTTCCAACAATAAATCAGGGTAGCTTTGAAGGTAACTGTCCTGAGTGTAGCTCTGAATGCAAATTAAGAGATTGTTTGTGGATATAGATGCAGTTCTTTTTAAACAAGTTTATTTTCCTGCAAAAGAGAAAATTATGTTGGCACTCTTATACTAGGTCTCCGCCGGAATTGCTTTGCCATGCGTGACATTTGGAAGTTTCTTCGTGATAACACCAACACCAATCTAAATTAACCTAAATTTACTTTCCTGACGAGACTAAATTAAGTTAATCTTACTATAAGCATGTCTGGCTATACATCATTTTGAAAATATGAACATTAAACGACTACTGCCTGAAGCTTGGAGGGCCATCAAGTTGAATCAATGTGAGAGAAGCTCATGGAGATCGATCCCATCGCCTCGAAGGAGATGTACTCCTTACAATGTGAGATGTACTCCCAATTTGCACAGGAACTAATGTTCTCCAGCTTCCTGGAGTACATCCCGTAATGTCGATCGTGGTATTGCACGCTGCTTGCACATTGTTTTGTACAGATTCCAGTACAATTGTCAACATGTCTACTATTCGCAGAAGCTGACTATGAGCAATGTCCTGACTCAAGCCGATGGAGACGCTCAGCCTTGCCTTTCTACCTTTCTTCCTTCGAAAACTGGACTCTTGAGGTCGAACATCGGGTCAGGTGGCCTCTGTTCGACCTCATTCTGTCCGATCGAACGACTTTAACAGCACAGGGAATTACGGAACCGTACAACAGGAGTCTCGATCAAGGACAAGTTTACAGTACATAGTCGCTTCGTGTGATTGATCTCAAACTTCCTCATACGATCATAAACACACAGGTGCGATCGAGCTGAAGAATGCTGCAGTAAAATCGGATGAGGAGAAAACATTGTTATGAGATCGACCGCACTATCAAGCGCAATCTCTGTTTGAATCTCAAGGCTTGGCTTCCTACGAATTGGCTGCGTTCAGAACAATTTGATATTCGCTGTGCGTATGCGCGCGCTCCATGCAGAAACATGAATTCAGGCGCCCACATCGCGCTGCAGTCATCACAGCCTGCAGAGACACAATTACTATTGCTACTGTTTAAGATCTGTAAAGTTGACGAGAATGCGCCCCGAACACTCTTGCGAATGCGCCAGTAGACTATGCTGTCCGTCAACGCCCCTGTTGCTGCTGAGGGACGAGATTCCCGAAGGAATTCCTACGCCACGTTCAAGTGATTGTTGCTCTTCTATTGAAACAGAGTGACTTCAGCTACGTGACATATTGGAGCAAGCTGTGATTGCAAAGTCTGTTGACTTGCAACATTTCTCCACCGCTCCTGTTCACATCCCGCAGTAGATCCGTCGTTAATCTCAACGAGTTCGGAAATTGTGTTGCTGGATCACATGATTCTCCTGAGGATGTACTAGTACATTTCTTTGTCTTCTCATACACATAGTGATCTCAAATACGTACGGTTTTGAGCATTCTTGTACTTGGCAAGCATTCTGCGCAGTATGGATTAAGTGCACAGGGCAGATTTCGACATTCCCCTGGATCTTTCACCTCAATAATTGACAGGTTTCAAGGTGTTGCAAGCATGGTTCAAAAGTAGTCCCTTGGTGATCTTTGTGGGCTGACTGAAACTAATACAGATACTAGGGATCTCAAACTGCAGAGTTTCATCTGTAGTCCAAGATCAGTAGCTCATTTCGATCAAGATTGAATTCTGAAGATGTGTAGCTGCATAGTCGTAGAGGTGAGGAATTCTCCAAATATTTTCGACACATTTTGGCCGGAGGGAGAGAGAATGGCATTGAGGCGCTGGATTCTTTTACAAATTGCCAAATCACAGTCAAGGTAAACAACTTTCACAAGAGGCCGACTACTCTAAATATGGGACGTTCATATCATCATGAGCCTCAGTTATTATATCGGTGTACATTCATCCCCGTCCATCCCGTAAGTCAGGACCCTGTACAGTACGATGAATCTAGTGGAGGCCCTTGAAGGCGGGTCAATAATAGCAAAGTCAGCGTTGAAACTGTTGGAAGGTTCGCTCGGAGCTTCATACTAGAGCAAAAAAGTGAGCTCTGTCGACTTGTGGAAAAGGTACCCGACGTCGTTTGTGCTTTTAAAGAGCAGCTACAATTGTTTCTTTGTAGGAATTCATCCTATTAATGTGAACGCCAAAGAAGGTAAAATATAGATCGTAGAGGAGTAAGTGGTTTCATGCATCTGGAATACAGATGAGTTACAATACTGCCAGCAAGTAATACACAATCACGATAAGTACTGCGATTTTAAAGCTAATCGTAAAAGCTTTAAAAGCTTTAATAGACGAATGTCGTGTCTGAGCAAGACTGACCGCAAGAGCAAGCTGGAAAATCATCAGGTCACTCCACCTTCGACCACTTAGGTACAACAAAAGAAAGTCTATTATTGAAAGTGTAGAGGGGCTTGAAGCTCATAAGCTCATAAGTGATCTTTTGTTTTCTATCGATCCTCATGAAGCGGTAGACATCAACGCCAGGATGGAGTTCAGACAATAGTGTAGCCAATGCGTTGCAGTTTAGTTCTCACACCGCCAAACACTATCGACAACGTTGAGGGACTTTTGCAACTTGCGACAATGGAGATTTCCTTGCCGAAGATAACAGTTGCTCTTAGCTGTCGAATCCTTCCACTTACTTCCGATGATGTCACGTACCTTCACTTCTTACTACAGAATCCGCGGATCGGGGAACTAAGCGCTGAGCCATAAGTCGAAGTCATAGGTTGCAGTCAACTGATAGCTGCCTGATCCAGTTAGTGTGTTCTTCTGCGCTCCATACTTGTCGTCAAGTTTAACGGGATCCGGACCAAGTTGCCTAACTTTTGTGCGCAGCGGTTTCTTAAAAAAAGAAGTGGTCATCCTTCGCACACATACGGACTCAAGAGTTCACGATCTTCTGCAACAACACTCTGTCGACTGTCTGCTGATTATTCCCGCCGCGCATTCTAAGGTGGCTCCCTGTCTTTTCTTGCCAAATCTGTCAACGTCGGCTCTTGATAAATGGAGTCGAAACAAAAACTAGACAACAAATGGAGACACGAAATATTGTGAATATTATCCTATGTCTTAATCTACTGTCAATTTCGGTATCAGTTATTTCCAAAACTAGGGAACTCTGATCCACCTTCCTGATTACTGTTTTGAAAAAATTCTAAGCAATCCTCATCAGTGGAGATCAGAAGAGAATGTCATGCGATGAGCATTTAAATCTTCATAGGTTAGTCATTCATGATGTCTCCTTCTTAGGAGTAATATTTGATTGATGAAAAATTTTGTCATGTAGACCTTTGCCTTATTATCATGCAGGCAAGATAATAAAAAAAAAATCAATCGAGGAATTGACATATTTGATCCATATACCACGTTCCTAATTTAAGGCGTTTGATGAAGGTGAACTAGATACTATATGTAAGTATGATGAAGATGGCAAAGATAAAAATGGTTTCCTCTAGCTCTAAGAAAGAGTGACTCTGAAATATTTGCTACGTTAAACTTTGTTATACAATTTTCGCAGATTCGGGAATGAGAATGAAGGAAGGAAAACGTCTCGTCCTGTAACCAAATCGATTGTCAACTGGCTCCGGTGGATTTTAGTTGACCACAGGTCTGACTAATGCGACGACTTGCCAGCAGCAAAACTCGTTTGGACGCCCTTACCCGATTGTTTCGTCAACGTTCGATTGGTCAAGGATTGCCTCCATTTATAGAGGCCCGAGTTAGAATGCAACCGCTTGAGAGCTGTCTTTCTTGGTCAGCTATAGATAAGGCCTTAGACAGACACTGCACAAGGCTCCTTGTCTGTCTGCAGCTCTCTGACTCTCGTCGGAAGGTAGGAATGCAGAAGGACCGTGTCTGCTGCAAAGCTCGGCTGGCCTAATTCGCAATTTCGTGGGTAACTTGCTCTTTCAAGTGGGGCCGAGTGCAGGGAGGGCTGTACGAGGCAGCGGATTTCATATATGCTGCGAGCACTGGACGCTGCTGAGGCAGACAGAAGTATCCTGCGAGCTGAAGCAGGCAGTCTTTCTGAGTGATCCATTCACACGGCGGCGCTTCTGGGGAATTTGAAGAATTCAGCAGGTACTACTGTCTCATGGCGTCCTCTTTCTGGTTGCCGGTCCTCTTGACAGGTTTCGTTTGTTATTCAGTATCGCAGAGTGCTCGAGGACAAGTTTTGTACGAGGGTCCTGGGAGAATTTCTGATGGAAGAGATCGCGACTCGTCAAGTAAAGTGGACACGACGTTGTTCCTCGATCGACCTGTGGCCCAGTGTGGGAGTATCGTCGTAAACGTGACTGAATCTCGGGGCGGTGAGTTCAAACTGGAGCATGGAATGAGTTGCCAGAACGAGACGATTAGATGTTGGGCCGGAGTGCGCAGTGGGAAGGCAGTTAAGCGAGACACGCCAGAAGGATTGGTGTGGTCAATCCCCTACGTCAATTTGACAATCACAGAGAGCTGCACTTTGCGGCTAACGAAAGATGGAGATTTGGAGTTCCTCATCTCCGACCTGGACATAGAAAACGGGATGCCCAGTATTCATAACGGTGTAGTGTCGTGGAGCTCTAACACAGCGGGCAAGGGAGCTGTTGAGGTTCAGGTACAAGAGAATAGCAATCTCGTCCTCGTCAATGGAGATGGTAAATCTGCGGTATGGCAATCTTCGACGGCTCCTCTTCTACCCATCGCTCCATTGGTTTCGACCTCAAAGTCCTTTAGAATAAATGCAAGTCTGAATATGGTGTTCAAGGTCGCGTTCTCATCTGCTCTGTTGATGAGCCTCGAGCTGCTCCAACTCATCGTGTAAAGTTTTTCTGGGCACTCAGACCAAATAGAAGTAGATCCTTGTACATCAATACACATAGAAAATTCCGAACTTGAAATTGTTCCATCAGCCCTCCACCGAGGGCTAGATAGATGGTAGACCAGATGTAGTGAGAGTGTTCAGTGAGAGTTGCTATGTCACGATGGCAATACATCCACTTATGTATGTCTAGATCGATTAGGCAGTTCATATCGACAGGTGAAAGGTCCAGGGGAATGAGACCATGATTGTCGAAAGTTGCACCAGGCCAGTTTCTGACTGTGGTCATTTTTTCCGGCATTGGGTGTTTTTTTTTCATAATTCTACGTCTCTGAAAACATCGACATGGCTTCTTCTCTGTGCTTGACAACAGACGCTTATCAAGTGAGCTCCGAATGCGTCTGATTTATATTAGATTATAACGTAAGCACACGCATAGTATGTCGAGCAAACGACGGTGCTGTCATGTTCTCACGTTTTCTGGCGTGTGGTGTTTACTAGATGGCAGGATCGTTGGACCTTTAGTCATCGATAGACATTATATTGTTAGGAATTTGTAAACTGGCGAAGAACACAACCACAAATCTGGCCAATGCACCTGTCCGCTAAAGTTTCTGCCCTCAACCATGTACACTCATTGTCGCACATTGTAGAGTCTACAAACCAGTCTTTCTCGACAATTACACCATTTAACTCTACGCCGACGGGAGAGCGAAGTAATGAACACAAATAGAAGATGCGATTCCGATGAGAAATATCATTCAGAATGAATGAATCCTGCGCGTAGCCTACACTAATGTCTAACCTCTCGTGGCGAACAGTCACAGTCAGCCATCATCGAAGAAAAGCCGAAAATACAATATTAAGAGTTGAGACAATAAACTCACAGGACCTAAAGCAGATAGTCAATCACATATCTGCTGTTTGAGAACGCTGATATGTGCGTATAATCGGCGTCGGAACCTGCGAGGAACTGCCCACACTGCCATCGTGACAACTGCAAAAACGCCGACTTCTGACCTGGTAAATTACGGAGTTACCACCGACATCGCAGGAGCTTGTGCTCCACGTGTGCGGTCATCTGCCCAGGCAATTGCGAAAATAGATTGCCTTCAGAGGTTAGGAGCTAATAATATGGAAGGAGGAAGCAAGACAGTAGCTTACACACTAAAGAGAATGTACATCATGGGCGGTCCGCAGATTGCAGAAGTTTGCCTTCCGCGTGTTTCCAACCGGTGCCCAAAATGGCGAATGCCTTCTCTTGAACTGATCAGCTGTAAGGAAGCATGCACGATAGGATTTAAAGACGTAGAGTGTATATAAGTCATGACCGGTTGGCATTTTGCAGGAGGTTTAAGTTCGCGTTCCTCGTGTTTGTGTAGGCTATGGATTAGGGCGAAATCAGATTGCATCCAGATGGATTTACAAAATAAGAGGAGGTACGCCACAACATACTCTCAGGAATAAATCTAATGAGCTTTTCGTTTCTCCCAGGCACACTACTGCTGTGTCGAGAAGCGCGAAAATAGATTGCCTTCTGATGATCAGATCAGTCGCCTCACGACTTATTTATCTCATCAACGAGGTATTCCAGACAAATCGGATCTGGACATAACTCACACAGACAGTAGCCTCCTCCTTGTCACAGCATCGGGGTAGGTGCATCGCACCTGGATAGAGCCGAATGCGAAACTCACTTCCATGAGGTCTCTTGAAGGCTGTCGACACCAACTTCCCCACGGTTATCTGATTCTGGTTCCAGTTGCATTGGCAATGATCTGAAAAATGCTTGTCCAATTCTATTAACTCTAAGCTGGAGTTCTGCTGAATATTCGCTTCATGGAATGTAGAAAAGAGCACTCAAGCAATCCGTTCACACCAGGAATCAGCACAGAGGACTCGATATTGCGTATTTTGCCTCCAGCCTCTTGTGTGTGGGTTGGGGTTAGGGTTATGTATAATACTCAGCTTCGAAATTTGGTGGGTTTAATACTGTATTATACACAATTGACTCTGTACAGTGATCTGACGGCTGAGATGTACATCTCTCCGTTTAATCCTCTGATGTCGACACGTGTCTACTCTCACAAGCACCACAAAGAAAGTAGAGTCATGCAAACAAGTAAAATCAATGTGGTTGCTCGTCATAGTGTTACAAGAAACTTCTATACTGCGCTGTGGGATGGCAAATTCAGTGATTAACCTTCTTTTCCTACCCGCAGATGTTGAAAAGTAAGATAAACGTGTTATAAGATGATTTGTTTCTACCAGGAAGAATTCTAGAGGTACTCAGCAATGTCGTAAGAGAAAGAATGGAAGGGAAGGGACAGAGAAGAGGAACCGCGCCAAGACCAGCAGAAATTCTGACGTAAAAATCATTCACAGTCTTCAGAAAATTCAAGTCGATTTAATGCAGTAAAACACTGATGGACTTTTGAAGCCCTGTATTATACTCTGTGTATGATACTCGGGTTTAATATGTACAGATCACTAGTTGGGCTCCTCCTGTTGGAAGTAAAAGGAGCATCCAGTCAAGGAATTAATGACTATGCCTTTTTAAGATTCGTTCGCTCTCTGGATCTAGTCACAGCGATCGCAAAAATCGATTGTCCCCAGCGTAACATGATGTAGAGGAAGACCGTGTCAAGTCCTGAAGGAACGAGGTACCAAAAGAAAGAGTTTATGTTTTACTATTTTCATATGTAAACATGTCATGTTTTAGAACCGAAGAATGGTCTCCTCAGTTCACTAGCCATTGAAATATAAAGAACATTGGATAGACGAAAGCGGAAAAATTCAAAACTTATGAATCTGCTTCCATCAACCTGATTATATTATGATCATTCCTTTGATTGATGATATGCTACTCTTTCATGAGGATATTACCTAGTCTATCAAAGTGATATGACCTAGGTGACTCTAACATCAAGATTCAGTTCAATTTTTTGACTGTCTGTCAACTCTGTAACTTACATTATACAACTAACAATGTCCTGATCATACTTATGGCATCTTCATTATTCATCGAGGACCACAAGACAATGTCACCCATAACTTGGCATTAGACATGGATTAACAAGATCCACGATTGAAACAATTGGCTACACTAAATATTTATTAACATAACATACGTTGTGCGTTGAAACTGTGTTCGTACAACTACCAAGCTTATATCCAAGATCATCAAAGCTTAAAATGTGACATGCATTGAAGATTATCATCAACAAACAAAAAAGTAAGTGTTCAAGTTTCAAACATATATCATATTAAGTGATAATCCGCTTATTGCACTCTACGGCAGGTAAAAGTATTTAATATCCTATGTATTAAACAGAAATCAGATATATATAAAATAATGAAATCAAATTTTTCTGACTCAGAATTGGAAAAAAAAATTAATATTTATGTCAAAAATGAGTTTTCAGGTATCAAAGATGGTTATTTATGAAAAATAATCAAAAAAATAAGTGTGTATATATATGTATGTAAATTTCAAATTGAAATTGTAAACTAATACAATTATATAATTCATGTTGAGGTTAACTCCGATTAACCTTGTGTCTTATTATTGTTAGCTACGGTGGTCACCTAAAAGGTCTTCTACGTTGATTTTTGACATATCACTAATAAAGTTACTCTTGTGTTTCAGCCGATGAATTACATTATATCCCACATTATATCCGTGTCATTTTGACCTTCTCTGATATACCCCGTTTATTGTTGAAACTGTCACGTTATTTGTGGTTCTCATGGATTCATTTGGTTTTTATTAAATTCCAAATTAGCAATCATATTATTATTAGGAAAAAATTAAATGAAACATTGTGAGACTACACTTCAAAAGTCTTAATTATATTAACATAATTATATTAAAAATAAAAAAATAAGTATTTTCAGTATCAGTTAAATTAAGGAAAAATTTTTTAAACATGGATAAAAGAAATTTAATGTTTTAATATGAATCTATAAAAAATTAAAATTATTAAATATCAGATTTTTTCAAAAGATATGAGATTTTTTACATCTTAAAAAAATATGTCATTTTAATTTTCAATTATGTATTTATTTATAAATTGGTTGAAATTTTATCATCAATGCAAAAATTAACGATAATACTTTAACATATATCATTTTTAATGTCAGAAAAATCAGAAATATTATAAGAGAGTATTTAAAAATTAAGTTATTATTTTGTGACTTTTTTAATCTTACCAAATTATTATGAGATTTGATAATGATCTAACAAAATGATAAAATGTATCACTTTTGAATTACATTTAAGGTTTTTAAAATTTTCTATTTGTAATTGACAATCAAAATTTTGATTTAAAGTTACATTGTTGGATAATTTGTAATTATTTATGTTTTCATTGAATATGACTTAAGACAGCTCAGTAAAAAGAAATTTGTAAAATTTACAAATTTTTGAAATATATAATATATTATATAGCTCAGAGTGTATAATCCCAAAAAAATATTTTGAATTTTAATTTCAAATATAATTTAAAAATTAATAAAATTTAAATTATTTACAACCAATTTTCTTTTCAAATAATTTTATTTTGTAATATTTTAAAAGAAAATTTTTTTCTAAATAGAATGATTAAAATTTTTTTAATTCAAATGAACAGAAAAATATTTTATTTTTATTCGAAATCAAACATAACTATTTCTAAATTCATTATTTCTAATTTCATTATTCCCCTGTGCACCATTTTTAAATTTTTGCGATTTAATTTCATTTCTCATTAGAGTGATTAATGTTATAAACATTTAAATATAAAATTTTTATAAAATAAAAAATTTCTTTTTCTTTCGAATTCAAAATGTTTTTTGGAATTTTATTAAAAGAAATTTTTGAATACATATACAAGAAAAAACAAATAAAATAAGAAATTTCTAAATATTTTAATTTTGATATTTTAATAGAAATTGTTTATATCTAAATATTTTTGATTTTTTTAATTTCATTTTATTTAATTTTTCATATTTATCTTATATCTTTATAAATTTTATTCACATAAAAATTTCTGTTATTTTAGATTTCGAAATTTTCATTCCAAATTTTATTTCTATATATTTAAAATTAAAATAATTATAATATCTTACTTTTATAATTTTATAAAAATTAGTTTCTTTACTTTCAAATTTTAGGATCTTTATAATGAATTTAAATTTCTTTATATTTAAGATTTTGTTAAAATATTAAATTTGAAGTTATTTTCATTTTTATTTTCGTAATTTGAATAACAAATAATTTCAAATTTGAAAAATTAATCATGACTTTTCAATTCCAATGTAATGAACTCTTTTTAATTTATAATTTTA